CAGCAGAATTTCGATAAAATTTCCCCATAATTTTCCGATTTTTAAATGTTTTTGATTTTGCACTAGGGCTACCTGGATGTACCAGTGGGGTTGGGTGTGTGTGTCTGGGCACGGCATTTGTTTCCCTGGGTATGGTAGAATTAGCTCAGTTTATCCTTTTTTCAAGTTTTTGGATTCCCCCCCCCACCATCTTTTTCGGTTTTGTCTTTTACTGTTTCACATTTGTCTCCTCGTGTATCTGGGCGCGACATTTGTTCCCGGGTGTACAGAAAAACAGCCTGCTTTTGTCCCTTTTTTCCGTTTTCTCTTTTATTTTTTACATTGTCTCCTCAAATGTGTTCTGATTTGAGATTGGCATGAAAAGACCCGCACGATTATGATTATTCGCTGTTGTTGGCACGTATGCCTACAACTCGAGGTATACACTTTCTTTAATGATCTCTGGACAGGATTGCACCACGGCCGGCTGCGATTGCGGTTATATACATTCAGGCAAGTCCTGTTTTGAGTATGTTCAGTTGTGCGGGCCTCTGAAGAAAATTCATCGCATCATTTTTGTGGGCATTGTCTGCTCCACATTGTGGGGCAAGATGGCTAGCACGGCAGCTTTTGATAACCTCTCAGGCACCTCTCCGACTTGGCATTTCTAGATCGAATCGGACCTACCCTCCCGTCCAGATACATGTTTTGTAGAATGATTGGAATGTCGACTGTGAGAAGGATGCTATGCTCTTAATCAATTTCTCTGCTTCAACTTTCCCTTTATCATTTTTGTACTTCTGATTTGCAAAAAGAAAACGACTATGCATGTATGCAACGTCGACCATGGGCAAATTTGCATGCACTAGTTGTTTGTCATTGCCTGTGGAGACAAGGGGTACCCCGTTTCTAACCCCTCCCCCCCCTCCCCTCTAAAAGTCTAAAACGAACATTTAGACAAATGGTATATAGTGCTAATCATCCCTTGTATTAATTTGGTTAGTCTATTTGAAGTCCCATGCAGCCTTTGACATGCAGCTCCCAGCCAACTTCATCAACGTGGCGAGCCTTTGTATATCTGGAGCGTATTTTTTGGCTGTGATAGCCCTTTCTTTGTTTCGTGGGTGTTTTGCTGGCGTGTGATGGGGTGTGAACTGGAAGTCTGTTGAGTTTTCCACCTGGTGTGGGTGAGTGAGAGTCTGCTTTGATTTTTGTCACAGATGCCTCGAGGGCAGTGGTTGGTGCGCACCTCAGGGTATAAATGCCGGGCAGTCTATGCTTAACCACGACCGGGGTTAAGGTGGATTATCACTTAAGAGTGTAAAATCAGGTAGGGGATTCTGCAGACTGTTAGGGTTCAGCCTCCTGATGAGTCGGTGAAATTCCGACGAAACAGTTTGTCACAGACCCTCATTTGTTGTCCTCTTTCTCCCTCTCTGCTGACGGTTTGCCGGGCAGCTCTGTTTGACGAGAGAGAGAGAGAGAG